GGGGGGGGGGGGGCAGTGCTTTGAGGTGAATGTTCCAACTATTTTGGTGGAGTCAAATTCCACTTCTTTGAAATTTCTGTGGGCCTATAGAGATGACCACCTGCAGCAGAATGTTCAGCATAAACAAAGCCCTAGTGTCTCAGGCCTCCAATGCAAATGGAAAAAAGGGATACGTCCTTTGCTATCTAAGATAGTAAAAGGAAACTGATGCTCAAGAAGATAAACCATGAAGTGAGAACCATAAAAACAGCTATGCTCAATTGCATATCATTCTATTTCTGCAAAATAAATCAGCAAATAGGAAAAAGGCAGGGAATAGTGTAATCAAGGGAGCTTCAAATTCTAATACTAAACAACTAATGCAGGAGAAACTATTTCCTATCATATTCTAATAATACTTCACTGCTCCTAACATCTGCCCATAACTCCCAGTTATTATTACGCTTATATCTAATAATACATAACTAGTTATAGTGTGTTTGGTTTTCACGCACATCAAAAATGAACCATTCATTGTTGTTTTTGCATCGTTTCCAGATTTTGATGTGAATATGTTGACAGATGTGATCTGGAACGTATAACCAAACAAGGGTAGACAAACATCTGTAGTCCATTGCGGCTTTGACCAAAACAGATATCATTTACCAAAAAAATAACTGTGTTCAAGAATTCATTACTCGATCATATAATATATATATATATATATATATATATGAGGAGGGATCCATTTATTCCAGGAGTAAGTCTACCTGAACTTACTCTACTCAATAACTCATGCTCTATATCAAATCTCAACGATCCAACCGTTGAATTTAAAGTTCTTAATGCACAGATCAAATCTGCAAATTTTTAAAAAATTTGAAAACCATTTGATACTTAGTTTCATTAATTCAAATTGACAGATATTATCTGTCAATTTGAATTAATAAAACGAAGTATAAAATGATTTTCAATTTTTTTAAAAATTTGTACATTTGATCTGTGCATTAAGAACTTTAAATTCAACGATTAGATCGTTGAAATTTGATATAGAACATGAGTTATTAAGTGTAGTAAATCTAGGTAAACTTACTCCTGAAGTAAACGGATCCCTCCTCTATATATATATATATATATATATATATATTAGTTGGTAGAGCCAAGGCACTCGGTTGAGTTCTGTTTGTTCATATGTTAATCAAAATATAGTGAAGGAATGGGTAACATCGTAGAAGCATAAGCTAAAAACCAGGAGGGTTGTGAAAATCCCCGAGTTAATGATTATAAATGTGATTTAGGATTCATTCAGAGAATATACATCTTTTTAGTATCTTGCCAAGGCCAAGCCTAGGTGCAACAGTAAAGTTGCTACCTTGTGACTTAGAAGTCATAGGTACAAATCACGGAAATAACCACTCCACATGTGAGTTAAGGCATTGTACATCTATTATCCTCGCTAGGACCTCACTAGGTAGGGAACCTACTGGGCTATCCTTACGATGCTAAATGTAAAAAGTAAAATTACATACATATGATATCAAGGGGAAAAAAGACAGCAACACTGATATTTAACACCATGAAATCAAGGATATGAGCATCATCTAAAGTAGGTAGCATCAATTAACTTAATGCAAGGATCAACAAAGATTTAGGGTTTCATGTTTAGAAACCTAAAAAGTACCGAAATAATGTTCTAAAATATTCGAAGAAACTCGGAAGATATTCAAAATATCATAACAAGATCATTAAGTAATTGAAATAGGAATCACCTCGATGTGATACAAGGTGGACCCGCGATCGAGGCCCTTCAAACTTCCAGTTATCTTCACTCAACGATTTAACCTCCTTGTCAAGTGCAGCCATGAGATCTGATTTTAAAGCTGCGAAATCGGAAAGCAGAATGTCAAAATGCAAGCCTCATGAATCCAGGAAGAACAGACAACAGAAAAGAATACATTATAATTCAGATCCCAAAGCTACATAGAAAGACGCTGCATTCAACTTAAAACTGCACTCAAACCAAAGATTTATTTTGCCCCTTCAATGTTTTCACTTCTCAAAACCATGACACGGTGAAATCAACATAGAAAATCAGACCAGAAAGCCCTGGAAAATGTGAATCTAACCAGAATGCAAGGATCCATATTAGTTCAAATCCGAGCAACCCCAAAGGAGAACATAAAGAAACAAATAATCTATATAGAACTGTAAAATCAATTAGCTTTGAAAATAAATTGAGAGAAAACTCTGGAATCTCAGTAATCGCAATGCTAAATACAACAGATAAAGGCCATAAATAACAACGTAGAGGGAAGTAAACTTATTAAGGAGGACCCTTCAATGAACTTGACCCTAATAGCTAATAGGGTATCATCATATTCGTGCCCATTGTGAAATAACCACAAAGTTTCGATTTTGAACGAAATCACAAAAAGGAAGTAAATTGAATGAAACCCACCTAGCATGGCCTCGTCCTTGCGCTCATGCGATGAGATGGGATCACACGGCAAATTAAAATCGTCAACGGAAACAGCCGCGTTGCTGCTGCTTCCGCCGCCGCCACCACCACCAACAACCGCCGTCGTCGATAGCGAAGAATGAGCCGGTGATGAACTATTCATGTTCCTCCAAGTTTCTGAATCTGAATAATAAGAGCCAAAATGTTGTTCGCGTTTTGAAACTGTGGAATCAAACTTTGCTTAGTGTGTGTTGTCTTGTCTAACACGACACGAGCCCTCTCAGGTGTTTGCCCCTTTGCTTTGATTCGATGATCGAGCCAAGAAGGATATTTTGAAATTTGAATCAGAAATTTTTTATTTCATCCAAACAATGCCTTAGGCAGAAAACTAGCAAGGCACTCCTCCACTCGTCGTTAATTTTACTTATTTTTAAGAAATACAGTAGTCATTATTTTTTTATAATCTTTAAAAATAATACTTCTTAAATGAAACTAAACACGCAGTTTAATTTTATGAATAATAAATTTTAAAATTATAATAAATTAATATAAATTTATTAGTTTTATAATTTTTAAGAATATTATTTTATTTAAGATTAAATTAAAATAAACTCAGACCCACACGTTTTAGTTTAATTAAAAAACTAATAGCTTGTACGGTATATATAATAAATATTTATTTTATACGAGTAATTTATGATAATAAATTTTTGAATAAATAAATTATATTATAATTAAAATTTATAATAAATAATTTATAGTATAATATAAGATATTTTTTTTATTTTTAGAAATTACAACCACTGAGATTTAAAATTAGAATCTTATACATATTACTCTAACTTCTTACTATTAAGTATTATTAAGTCGATCTTAATGATTAGTGATATAAAATACTAGTTATTTATAATATTTGCTAATTTATTTATATATTAAAGTTTAATGTATAAAAATCAAAATGATAAATTAGAAAAGGGAAAGGTAACTTTTTTTAATCTTTCCTTATGTTGGTAGAGAGTATTTTTGTAGAGTTTAGGATTATATTTTTTCTTTTTTATAAAAATTATAATGACGGTAAGAAGATTTAAACTTAAAATATGTGTATATTATTTGTTAAGTAAAAATTTACTTTGACAAATTTAACGATTACTAATATTTATATTATTGAAAAATATAATATTTAATATAAAATATAATAAATATTTCTTACACTTTACTTGATTACATATAAAAGGTAGAGATTTTTTTGGATATAGTGTTTATTTATTTTTTTTTCATCACTAACTCAACCTAATGGTTCTTAGGGTATTCTATTGTAGGCATATTGTATCTTTATGTGAAATTGATTTATTAGGCTCGTAAATTTTGAATGTTAAGGAAAATAAAAACAAAATAAAATTGACAAATACAATGGTTCACGAGCTTTTTTGACATAAGATTTAATCAGGTAAATTTTTCCTAAATCATTTATAAGAGAGAAAAAAATATATTTTTAAGTTAAAATTAGTATATGCATAAAGTAATTTGTGTCAATTTGTTCCTATTATCTTTTCCAAAATCTTATTTTTTAACTTGTGTATAAATTAATTTTAATTTATCAAAAATTATTTTAATTTCTTATTTTTTTCTGAAAGTTTTTTTTTTTTGGAAGTTTATTTGGAGATGCTTGTAAAGTTGAATGACTGAATGCTCTTTTGCATATTTTTTTTTTATCAACGAATACATGTTTACACAACTAGCACTTGAATTTAGAGCCGTCAAAGTAGGTTAGGGCTTGTGGGCCAACCCGACCCACCTTGAAAATGGGTCGGTCGGGTAAAAAAAATTGAAGTTTTATAGTAGGTGGGTATATCTCAACCCGACCCACCCCGGGCTGAACTCATGGTGGGCCGGGTAGCCCACCAACCCACCAATTTTTTTTACAATAAAAATTTAAGTATGATTTGTAGTTAATTTTGTATGATGGGATATTAAAAATTTTTATTTTAAACTTTTATCATGATTTGTATTTAATTTTGTATGATGAGTTATGACGTATGACTATTAATGATGTTAATTTTATAACTATTATGTTAATTTATAATTAATTTAAAATTTTTAATTTTGTTAATAAATTTTTTTTAATTTTTGGTGGGTTGGTGAGCTGGCCCATATAACCCACCAACTCGTGGTGGGCCAGGCCGGGCCAAATTTATTTGAGAAAATTAAAAGTGGGTCGGGTTGGGTTGGGTCATTTTTAAAGTGGGTCAAGGTGGACTAGCCCATGTGGCCCGTTTTGACAGCTCTACTTGAATTACTGGGCGAAAGAAATCCTTAAAATCAAGTTAAAGAATTATCTCCATGTTTTCTTCAAATCAATAACCTTATTGACTATTTCAACAATAATTGCATTTAAAGAGAGAGAGAGAGAAGAGAAGTGATTAAAATTTATTAAAGAACTACGAACTTATAAGTAAAATTCATTAAATTAAGATGGACTATAAGTTGTGTTATAGCATGGAGGCTACGAGGCATTCCGGGGGTATTTGGGTTTTGATGGCGATGTCTTGCTCCACTAATATATCTGAATTTGCCTCTCACCCTCAGGCCATCTCGTTTACGGTTGTTGAAGGAAGCAAGAGCTGGGTGTGTACTGCCGTTTATGCTAATCCTCGGGTGGAACTCAGACAGCGGGTTTGGGCTCATCTTCGGGAGTTGGGGGGACGGATTACGTTGCCATGGCTAGTGCTTGGGGACTTCAACGAAATTATGTTGTCAACGGAGTGTAGGGGTGGTCGCTTCTCGATGGTAGGGGTTTCACAGTTTCTGGAGGTTTTGAATGATTGTAATCTACTTGACATGGGGGCTAAGGGTCTCCGCTTTACGTGGTATCGAAATCAACGTGGGGTTGTGTTGGCGAAGCGTTTAGACCGTGCGGTGTGTAATGTTGCGTGGCAAGCCATGTTTCCGGAAGCATATGTTGAGAATCTGTGCAGGGTCTATTCTGACCATTGCCCTCTTTTACTGCGACATGAAGGCTCAAGGGACAAGTCTCATGATCGACCCTTTCGATTCCAAGCTGCATGGGCCACCCACAAAGATTTTGAGCGAATTGTTAGGGAGGCGTGGTGCCATAGCACGCCGACCCTTGCTAATTGGTTACAAGCTGTTCGTGTAGATGCCATCAAGTTTAATAAGGAAGTGTTTGGGAATATCATTACTAGAAAGAAGGCTCTCCAACGACGTCTTAAAGGGGTACAATTACAACTCGAGATAGGGGAATCAGAGAGCCTGTCGCGCTTAGAAAAGGCCATACAAGCGGAGTTGGACGAAACTTGTCTTCAGGAGGAGTATTTATGGTTTCAGAAATCTAGAGAGAAGTGGGTGAGGTTTGGGGACCGTAATACGTCCTTCTTCCATGCTCAAACTCTCGCGAGAAGACGAAGAAACAAAATTCAGGGGTTGTTTCTACTAGATGGGTCTTGGCACATAGATCCTGTGGTAATGAAAACTAAGGTAGTCAGGTTCTTTAAGGAGCTTTTCTCGATTAACAACGAACAAGGGTCTTTAGACATGCATGCTGGGGTTCCACCTGGCCTGGGAGTTGAGGCCCAATCTGCCTTAACTGTCCCAGTCACGAAGGAGGAGGTTCGCCGGGCGGTGATGAGCATGAAGTCGTTCAAGGCACCAGGACCGGATGGGTTTCAACCGTTCTTTTTCAAGCAGTATTGGCCTATTGTGGGTGATGAATTATGGCGTACAGTGAAGGATGCCTTTCGGTTGGGGTTCTCGGACAGATCACTCTTAGAGACACAAATGGTGTTAATTCCGAAAGTGGACCATCCGGTTAGCCTCAAAGAATTTCGTCCTATAAGCTTATGTAATGTTGCCTGGAAGGTTATTTCTAAAGTGATTGTGGCTCGTCTTAGACCCTTCCTGCAGGGCGTCATTGGTCCTTTCTAGGGCAGCTTTATCCCTGGGAGGGGGACTCGTGACCATAGTATTATTGCTCAAGAAGCCTTCCATTTCGTACGAAGGAAGGCTCAGGTGTGGGCTCCTTGGCTTTAAAAATTGACCTTGAAAAGGCATATGACAGGGTCAGGTGGGATTTTTTGGAGTCTACGCTGGTGCAGTTTGGATTTCCAACAATCACAATTTAACTCATCATGTGGGGGTTGAAGAATTCGTCAATTTCACTCCTTTGGAATGGAAGCACATTACCATCCTTTGTTCTGTCTCGTGGCCTTCGGCAGGGAGACCCATTATCTCCGTATCTGTTTGTTTTCTGCATGGAGCGCCTAGCCCTCAGGATCTCTGAGTTGCTCCAGGAGGGTCATTGGAAACCGATTCAGCTATCCCCTAGGGGGTTACCGCTTTCACACCTTCTCTTTGCTGATGATATTTTACTGTTTTGTCAAGCTTCAAAGGACCAAACTCGTTTGGTGGCGTCAATCTTGGAGGAGTTTTCGCGCTCATCAAGCTTGAGATTCAATTTGACTAAGTCTAAGTTTGTGAGTGTCGCAACCCAAAAATTTCCGATCTTGCGACTAATGGTTTAGACATCCTTTTAAAAGTCTCATCAATTAAGGAATACCCGGACACCAGACTAATCCTCAATTAATGGTTTTAAAAAATGAGTTCATGGAGTCGCCACCAATATTTTACTCAAAACATTGGAAAAAGAAAAGATTTTTAAAGATCCAATAATGGCCTTGATAACTAGAATTGGGTTTGGCGGTCGGTTACGTGTAGGGAAGGTATTAAGCACCCCTACAACGCACT